TGGAAAATCCGTGAGGAATTTCCAATTATTTGGAATATCGCTGAGGATTTTTCAGGCTTTTATGTAATTATATGATGTCGTGTTAGATATTTTAGCATACTCCGAGAGGCAGAGACTTTAACACATTGCACGCTGTCCACTGATATATCAGTAGCCCAATTTGTTCTATTCAACGATGTCGTCAGCGGGCAATGGGTTAAACATTAAATGACAAAAGAAAAAGCTTCTCTGGGATTGCGTAAACCTGACGAACTTCTAGGTTAAGAATGCTCTCAAGTGTTGGTGTTTATTATTTATCTTTTGAAAGATGCGTTGTTTATTTACTTCCTTATTTATTAAAAAAGGTAGGAAACAACAAAAGAAAAATTATTGTACCATTTTCATAAAAATTATTGTACCAATTCGGTCAACTTGGAAAATGCTATAAATAAAAAAAAAGACAAAATTTGCTTGACGCATAATTTAGCGCCAACTATTTAGCCCATGCACACGTAGCACGGAAAATCGCACAAACGGCTCTTCTTCCTCGGTTTCTCTCACTCTAACACCCCGATGACGATTTTCATTGAGTTAGTAATTGATGTGCACATTTTCTTCATGACTGTGTCCGTTTCTATCGAGATACCTCTACACAAGAAGAGATCGAATTTCAAGAATCTTGGGAATTATTTATAGAAAATAAACTAGAAATTAATTCCATATTCAACTAGCTAAACGTAATAGCTTGTAAAGCAGTATAATCGCGTATGTTAAAAAAGAGTCATTTCTTATTTTTGGAATATACTATCATAAAGATAATGTAACTAATAAATGAGTCAAAATTACTTTATAATTTGGGCTATGACACTTATTTTAATTTAGACTTTGTTTTAAATAATTAATTATTCAAAAATTATTTTATTTCCTTTATGTTTTGTTTTATAACAGTACAACTGAGTTCTTTTTTCTGGTACTTTATCCTATTATTTTGACTCTTTTCAGTTTTTATCTCTATGTTTTACAGATTCAAGTATTTGAGAAAGGATGATTCATAACGTTTGATTTGATTGTTATATCCTTTAAAATGAAAAAATTCGCAAGTGTATTGTTGTCATCTCGTGGATAATTTATTGTTCAGAAGGTGTTTAGATACATTTTTTAAAGAAAATCCATCATGTTTTATTTTAATAAAGTAGAAAATCAATATTTCCTAGAAAGCTGGAAATTTGTCGAGGAATTTCTATAAAGTAGAAAATCCCCGGCGATTTTTCAGGCAATTTTCTATAAAGTGAAAATTAATTCAAGATTACAGTGTACTTAAAGACTAACATATATACATTATTGAAAACTCTGTAGTCATCAGTAATTTACCGTTGGTAACGGTAAAAATCTTTTTTACCGATTTGAAATTACCGCGATAAAAATCGGAGATTGTTTCCGATGCGTCACTAACGATAATACGTTTTTACCGTTATCGCTCATTCCTAGTTGCCAATTGTTCGATGAACCGCGATTTATCAACATTTTTCGATAAATAGTCTAAAAATAAGCGATGTTATAGACGACATGAGAAGTTGTTGTTTTTTCTACTATAAAATGATAATTCTATAGTTTAAAAGTAAGAAAATAATACTTTTGCATTATATTTGCATTGTATCTCACTATTTTACACCGGATATATTAAGTTGAAAAACTATTTTGGCGAAGAGAGAAGTTGATACGTCGATGAACATGTGTGAGAACTTAAGCGTAGTTCAATCATCCATCCAAGATGATAGCAATTTTTGAAGACAGAAAACCAAACTAAAGATTTGATTATCATAAAGACTTTCTTCTAAACTGAGACGGTACTGCATTTGGCGAACACGATTCTTAAGCAATAAATTTATTTTCATAGTAATTATTTCATAAATAGGTGATGAACATTCATTTAATTTATCTGTAAACTATTTCAAGCATATCTATAATGATTGTATAACATTTTTTATTCTTGAACCTTCACCACAAAATAAAAAGTACTTTTCCCATTTACTTAACATATTTGACAAATGTATCGCACCATTTTGACTAATACCCGTTTGTAATTTAATAGCATTGACAAAATTTTCTCTAGTACTTAAATAAGCAGGAATTAACGATGAACATGTTAAATAATCTTTTTGAATTAATTTCTCTTGATCATCTATTGATAAATCTTTTAGACATGTTATCGGTTTTGCACATAAATGATTTTGATGAAAATTGGCTTCGGTTAAATTATCTTCAGTTTTTAGTTTAAATAAATGTTTAAACATATTTGGATCATTGAATGGACATGGACGATGTTGTTTATGGTGTTGTTGTATGTAAGACGTTTTTGATGGATAATAATTTGTGGTAGAAGTAGAAGATTTTTCCATTAGGTGACGTGCTGCTGTTGCTTTACTTCTCGTAGATGATTGTGAATTGTTTTTTTCACGTTTTGTTATTAAAGATTTTCCTCGATGATATAATGCCCCCGAGAGAGCATGAAGTGAACCACGATTTGATTTTGAGGATGTCTGAGTGTTTTGTTTACTTCTACTATCTACGGGTAATTGATAACTGCTGGATTTACCATTTGATGTGCTCCTTGACATATTCATAGAGGTTGCAGATGTTTTTCCTATGAATTGAGAGAAAAACACGTGGTTTAAGAGACTACGAGAAACTTTTTATCGACCATTTTCGTCAATTTCAACTGAACGATAATGCGTTTTAAAACTTCACTTTAAAACTCAACTAGTTCACTTTGAAACGCATAATTGATCCAGTTAAGCTTCAAATCCATCTGGTCTGCTTTATCAAAATCAAAATTCCGAAATGTACCAATTGATTCTGAAACGACTTTTAAAATAAACTAGTTCACGTTAAAATTTTGATATATATGTCCATTGAATACACAATGATTGATAACACTTTAGGCAGATATCTAATAAAAATCTCTAAATTTTTCATAATTAATACGTTTTTTGTTTTACGTTCTTCTTGAAAACAACTTTTTCCTTTGTGGTCATTATGACCACATCAAAAACTCATCCGATTAGGCTCAAATTATTACGAGAGAGATTATACACACATATTTCAAAGACGCTTCTTTGGAACTTTTTCCTTTCCTTAACAAATTATGGGATATTTAAAAATGAAAAACATCACCTTTGAAATATACATCTAGTAAATATTCGATCAGATAAGTTTTTCGATGGATCATGACAGATGTTAGTGGAAATTAGAGCTTTCAAATCTCGAGCCAGAAAATCTCATGTAGCTCTATTTCATCGATCAAGCATCGATGAGTTTTATGTCTAAGAAAGGAAAAAATTCCAAGATCTTTTTAAATAAATCAATGTCGCATATATATATATTAGAGGTAAAAACAAAACAATGAATAAACTGAAGACAGTCAACGGATCATTCCAATTTAACTGGGGCCATTTTCAATCGGCTTCAATGGCTGGTTGTGAAACTGAAATCTGGCTGAAAAAAAAACTTTCATGAAATAGACTAAACTCTTCGTTCTTACTCTTTTGTTCTACTCGATCTATAACCTTTACTATCTGATCTGAATTTTCATCCCAATATCTGTCTAATCGATTTAAATCTTGCAATAAAGCTCGATTTGTGATATTTGTGACATTTTGCTGTTTTTGAATATAAATAAGTGGTGTTAGATTTTCACATGTTGATTGTTGTTGTTTATAATGAAACGCTGTATTACTATTTATTTGAGCAAGAGATGTATTATTACTGATACCTTTTGTTCGTGTTTTTTTAATGGACAATCGGGTCGTTGTACCTAATATTGAATTTCTTTTTACATGTGATGCATTTCGATTATGTGTTATTGCTGATTGTAATGAATATTTTCTATTTATTGTTTTATTTTTTCGTATTTTACGTTGAAGACGAGATTGAATTGTAGCACGAGTTGTACGAAATTTTTTTATACTAAACGATACTGACCGTTGTTGTTTTGAACGTAATGATAAATTATTTCTCATTAATTTTTTCTTATTTTTCAATTGGTTTTTCATTGGAAATACATTTGTTAATAATGACATACTCTGATTTGTAGGAAAATATTTTTTATATCTCTTCTGTGATGATGGTTTGTCATGACGAGCTTGGTTTATATTCGATTTTGTACAAATATCTAGTTTAGCTTTGGACATTTTTTTTCTTCTTTTTGGAGAAAAAAATTAACCAGGAGAAAAAATAATAAAATTTGTTCAAAGAATATATCGAACACAAAAATTCAAAATGAAAAAAAACGTTAACTCTACGAATTGTAGATTTTCATATCTGTTTGGCGCTAATAATTTTCAAAAATATTGTCATAACACTGTATGAAGGTGCACTAGATAAAAAATCTTGAATCAGAGCTTGAATTTGGCATCTGAGCCGAATTTCTTCTTTCTATAAAGTAACTGATTATCCTGATATAAGAACAAAAAACGTTTTATAGTCATTGATTTTAACTAAAACCATAACGATATAACAGTTGGGTATTTAAATGTGTAATTATATCGCATTAATAAACTGTGATATAGAAAACTAATATAACAAACGCTAAACAAATGATTCTGATTATTAATAAAAGTAAGCTACCTCACTATATCATTGATTGCGCTTGCCCCCAAAAGAGATAATAAATTTTATTCCTAAAAGAGATAATAGAAGGAAAATGTGAAATTTTTGTAATCCCAAAAGAAATAATAAAATTTAATTAGTAATCAAGAACGAAAAAAAAAAAGTTAAATTATTGTGTTTTCAAAAGAGATAATATAGAATGAAAAAACAAACGAAACTTATGGGTATACATCTTATTCTCATGAAATCAAGCAGAATCATTAAGTACAGTGTACAAAATTGAATGAAATAGTGTACAAAAAAGGAGAGCAAGATGCACGTTATAATCGTGAACAAGAACTTTTTCAAGGCTTACTTTCAAAAAAAATAGCAAAATTTAGTATAGTTCATGGAGAACAGCTTATTAAAGCTAAACAACGATGTGAAATAACAAAAAATATTGAAAGTTATAAATGTTCAATACGAAGAAAAGCTTACTGTTCTTTCCATGAATATGAAAAAACAACAACAATGATACTGATTCTGATTGATTTTGTGATGAGAATAAAATATATATCCCCATTCTATATTATCTCTTTTGAAAACACAATAATTTAACTTTTTTTTCGTTCTTGATTACTAATTAAATTTTATTATTTCTTTTGAGATTACAAAAATTTCACATTTTCCTTTTATTATCTCTTTTAGGAATAAAATTTATTATCTCTTTTGGCCCCTAGCCATTGATTTATCAAGAAAACAAAAAAAGTACACAGTTGATCGTTAAACTTTCATAATCAGAATCTAACATTTCTGTGTCAGCAACAACAATGACAAGTTTGTAGTCTTTTTTTTTTAAACAAAAACATAAAAGTCTCCTCTTTTTTCTTTTAAAGTAGAAAAAGATGATTGATTCGAACTTCAAATAATAGATCATATTTTTTTAGTTGTTTTTTATTTTTCATCTAAGCTCCTTCAAATACGACAGCAACGGATAAAAACGATAGTTTGAGAAATGAATTTCGAATGTTTGATATCAACAATGATGGATATATTACGGAAGATGAATTGAAAATTGTACTTCAAAAAATGTTACCAGGTCACAATTTATCAGACAGTGAAATAAAACGAATGATCAGTAATGTGGATACAAACAAAGATGGTCGAATAGATTATAACGGTAAATAAATAGAATATTTCTCCTTTTTTCTTATTTTAATTTTAATTTTTTTTTCAGAATTTATTCAAAGTATTAATCTCCAACTAAATTAGTAATGGTTATATACCGTCATGAAACATATTTATGATTTTAATATTCTAATGTACCTTCTACGTTCAATTAAATAAATCATTCTATTTTGAAGCAAGATTAACGTAGTATGGTCTAACCATATTAGATATCAATCTTTCACGAAATACAATTTACAACATGTTATCATTTGAGCACTCTTTAATTTTCAGAAATAGACAGACACACAAAAAAACAAACAGGTTAACTTACTGAGAGCGTTAGGCATAGATTTTGAACACATGTTTTGTACAATCAATATGTCCAATTATGTGCAAATAATTATAAATAGGGTCTTTCTTTAATCAGAAAGAGTTGTTCTGAATCAACATGCAGCTGTTTTACTAGATTAAAAAGCTTTTTGTAATTGTCGTCGAAGAAATTAAAATGCAGGACAATTTAAAATTTTCCTACAGAAAATTAAAATTTTAATTTCTCTTAAACGAAATTAAAATTTTAACTTTTTCTTGAAAAAAATCTAGGAAACGATGAAATTTTACTTTCTCCTAGGCAAAATTGAAATTTTAACTTTTCCTTAGGGAAATTTTAAATTGTCCTAAACAAAATGTGAACGTTAATATTTTAATTATTTTTATAGGAAAAATTGAAATTTCCTTTGATGTCAGACTGACTAGACACAGAGAAAGAAGCAAATAAAAGTCATCCGCATATAACTAAATATTGTTTCCATCGGTTAAGTCGACTTTTTCTTGTCACGATAAAACGTTTCTACACTTTACATGATAACCACCATATCGAGTCTTTAAATCCCAACTTTCGAGACAAGTTTTCGATAAACCAGCCGATATATGATGATATAATTTTAATTCATCGAGCCAGTTGAGGAAACG